CTGAGGTCACGTGGCCCCCTCCTCGAGGTCACGTGACCCCCGCCGATGTCGCGTGACCCCCCGATGACGTCATCGTCACTGATGACGTCACCGACATCCACATCGTCATCGTCATCATCACTGATGACGTCACCGGCATCCACATCGTCATCGTCATCATCACTGATGACGTCACCGGCATCCACATCGTCATCGTCATCACTGATGACGTCACCGGCATCCGCATCGTCATCGTCATCATCACTGATGACGTCACCGGCATCCACATCGTCATCGTCATCATCACTGATGACGTCACCGGCATCCACATCGTCATCGTCATCATCACTGATGACGTCAGCGGCATCCGCATCGTCATCGTCATCATCACTGATGACGTCACCGGCATCCACATCGTCATCGTCATCATCACTGATGACGTCACCGGCATCCACATCGTCATCGTCATCATCACTGATGACGTCACCGGCATCCACATCGTCATCGTCATCATCACTGATGACGTCACCGACATCCGCAGTCATCGTCATCATCACTGATGACGTCATCAGTGACGTCACTGATGTCGTCACCGGCATTCGCATCGTCATCGTCATCATCACTGGTGAAGTCATCAGTGACGTCACTAATGACGTCATCGGTACCCGCATCGTCATCGTCACTGATGACGTCATCAGTGACGTCAGTGATGACATCATCGGCATTGGGGGTCACGTGACCCCCAAGGTAACGTGACCCCCCCTGGTTAGTTTAACCCCCCCCCCCCAGTGCCCTTCCCTCCTCCTCCTCAAGAGCTGCGCTCTAATTCGGCGTTACAGGGAGTTGTAAGCGGCTTTCATTTTTTTTCAGTTTTGTAACCCTTTATTTTCTCAGACCAAAACTTTTTCTTCAGCTTGGTTCAGATGCCCCCTACATTCATGGAATATTGTGTCCAGAAATTTCTATTGTGCCTTGTGTGTATGTTTGGGGGGGGGGGGAGTTTACTTCGCTGGTCCATTTGGTAGACAGGACGTGAGAAAGAGAAGTGTAGATAAAATACAACTGTAAGTTTTATTATGAAAACCTTTTAATACGGGACTGATGAAAAAATTAGAATATGAAACAATATGACGTCCTGTCTTTCACTTTCTTGTTACTTTCTGTAACCTAGTCTTGTGACTTAGAATCATTTACTACTACATAAGATTCAATGACATGGAAGGTACTGCAGCTCCTTAAACCCTTAAAAGACACATGCAAAGGAAAAAAAAACATTTTTTTTTAAACAGCCTTGATGGAAAAAGATTGTTTTAGAACAAATTTACAACGAAAAAATACAATTTTTAGAGCTATGTTTATGGCGCAAAACGAATTTGTAGTTGGCGCCCGTGAGAGCCGCCGCTGGTCACGTGTTAGACCTGTGCACCGCCGCGCTGTGTCGCCGAAGCCGCAGAGACACGCTGCCACCGCATGCTGAGCACTGTGTGCTGCTGCTTCAATCCATTTCTCCACGGTGGCGCCGCCGTCGCCGTGCAAGTTTGTGTGCTCTGGGGTACCGCCGCCGTCATCTTACCGGTGCACAGGTTTATCACGTCTGCTTGAGCTTTTTCAGGAGCTTCCTTTGGGCTCTAAAAGTAACTTATTAATCTTTGTTTTTTGTTGCACTTCAAACGAAGAGGAATAAGTAACTTTTCGAGACCATACGAAGCATCCGAAAGAGTGCAAGTACCATGTGACAAATAGCGGCCAATCACGTGATAAATAAGGGCCACTTCTCCGCGGTGCCCGCGGGCGCCAACTACAAATTCGTTTAGCGCTGTAAATATAGCTCTAAACATTTTTCTTTTTCGTTGTAAATTTGTTTTATGACTTCCTTTTCCTAACCCGGCTGTTTCAAAAAAAAAGTTTGTTTCCTTTGGATGTGTCCTTTAACCGTTTTAAACAAGCCTAGCTCTTCTACCTAGAGCCGTTCCCTAGGCGTTTAGGAGGAGTGTAGCACGTCCACGCATCCTACCTTGCCCCTTGGCTGTTTTAGACGTCCCAGGCCCGCTCTGAGCTTAGTTTGCGGTGCAGCTGAGAGATGGCAGCACGCATTTTTTTATCGTACACGTTTTTAAGGATGGCGACCGATTGTGGAGGCACGTGCGGCCCAAGCCGCACAAGCTTTAAAAAAGGAAAAAAAAATTTAGGATGAAAAACTGTAGAACAAAAACCGGTTAAGTGGTTAAGGTGAATATTGTGCGACATCATTATGCAGTTTTCTTGTTTCTTTGAGAATATCTAATTGGATACGAAACACTTTCATGACGTACAGGCAACGTCAACAAAAATGTTAAGTGAGTGCAGACTACGCAGTCCATCTATGGCTGATTTACACGACGTGCTAATCCGCGGATGGGTTTATCACGTGACAAGACGTCCACGAAACGTTAATCCCCCAAGCGCATCTACACAAAGGAGACAAGCAGGCGACAGCGAGGACATACTGTACCTATTCGCAGCCTTGCAATTTTGCAAAACGCCAACATCGCAGTGTGGCACTGTTTTCCAAGAGCAGAAGTGATGTTTGCGTTTAGGATCACGGTGCTATCATGAAAAGGAATCGTTGTGTGCCGCTGTTACATACCAAGTGGGCCAAAACATAGTGGCAGGTTTAGAGCGAAGTGTCACTTACTTTACTAACGACATGACACAAATATGATCCTGCTTCAGGAGGCTTCAGCATCATAGCGATGAAGTCCTGGGGTCGCGGAGAGGCATTTGGAAATGCCTTTACACACTGCTCGCTTGTGCACCACTCTTCAGCACAAGCCATAAGAAAGGTCTTGCTGGATGGAAAACTGGGTGGATCTGCAGGAAAGATTGCAGCATGCTAGGCGAGTTTTGCCAAGCTTCTTGACACCGACCCGGAGGAGTACCCGAACCTGTGGCGTGTCAGCCGGGCAAAGTTCTTGCAGCTTCTTTAACGCGTGGAGATTTAAGAGTGGCGCGACAAAACAATGATCCACTCTCTTTGTTTGGCTGATTTGAAAACAAAAATACTGGTGAGCTGTTGCTACTCTACCATAAAAACGCTTTTCCAGTTACTCACTTGCCAAATATCTGCGATTAAGAAGGCGCTCTGCCCTTTCAGTATGGGTGTCCGCGGACGAGGGACAAATCGCAGGAATAGCCTACATGATGGTAACTTGACAAATGGTGCATGGATGAAAATTGCAATTCGATGTATCGTGCGAATTTGCCATTATTTGGCAATTATCCTAATATGATCAGTTGATCCTAATTAAGAAAGAACAATTGTTCTCTGAAACAATGTAATGAAAGGAGGTTTTTATAAATAATGCCTGCTCATAATCGAAAAGGCTTGGTGGAACAGAGACTTTCCATAGATCAGATATTACGAGTTGCAGGCGTATGCTTAATTGAGAGAAGAGTAAAAGTACAGGCAAGGGTGGTGAATTGCATACATAACTAAACCTGAGACACCGGAAGAAGGACGCGAAAAAGAGAACAACAAACACAACACGTCTCAACCACAGCTGCATTTGTTTTTTACTTGTTAGTCGGTGGGTTGACTTTGGCAAGTGTGGGAGCGTTGAGGGCAGTTCTTTTTTCGCCCTTGCTGACAATCTGGGGGTGTGACTTGGTGTGATGGTTCTTGGCACTGACTGCGGTGTACCCCTATAAAATGGTGTGGTTTTAGTATGAACCAACAGCTGTGTTCAAGACATTATGTGTGTCGCCCTCTTTTTTGTGTCCTCCTTTTTCCTTCTTCCGTTGTCTCAGATTTAGTTATATGTGCTTAATCCATGCTCAAAGTGAAGACATGAGCATGTGCTGGCATTGCCAACCTTGTGGGTATGGTCTATGAAAAGTGCTTAATGACTGTGGTTAAGAGAGAGGAGTTTCTGCTTTGAAGAACAGCATGGAGTGAATGGAAAAGTGTCCTCACGAACAATGAATTCTCCAGGTTACCCACTCAGTCTAACGGAAGGATGTAGGATAAGCATTTTGAAATCTTTAGGATTTGCCAAGGGATGAAACAAATTAAATGCACAGAAAAGTAGGGGGAGGAGAATGGCACAAAGATTTTGGGGCTTGTGTTCTTACATTTGAATTTTTTGTGCAGGAAGCATTAAGGCCCGTTCACACTCTTGCAACCGAGTACGACCGTGAGAGACGAGACCGGTTTTCAAGCCTCTTGCGATCTCTTAAAACCAGCTCCGCTCCGGCGCATCCCGTCCTAAGAACTCGCGAAAGGCTTAAAAACCGGTCTGGTCTCTCTCAGTCTTACTCGGTTACAAGAGTGCGAACGGCACTTTAGTGAAACAGCACTTCAGTCCTGGGGGCAATAGGTCATTGCTAGACAATACCTGAATCCACTGATGCATATCAGGCAAACACCTCTTAAAGGGCCCCTGAAAAAAAAAAAACGTTATTGAACAGTCTGATAAGGACACCCGTGTCAAAAAATAAATTTTATGCGAAAATAATAAATTTTTTAGAGCAATATTGACGGCAAGAGATTTATTTTAAATTCTGCGCGCAAAGTCCATGACGTCCCGGAATGGTCATTCGCTCTCGCCACCTCAACACGAAGGCGAAGATGATCCCCTTCTCCTCCACTCGCTCGAAATGCCCAGAGGAAACATGTGGAGAGGAGGTGACTACCGACTAAATTGCGTCTCGCGCCGTCACAATTGCTCTGACCAATTTTTTTTTCACGTAAAATTAATTATTTGACGCGCGTGTCCCAACCAGACTGTTTAAAAAAAAAACATTTTGTTTTTCTTTTCAGGGGCCCTTTACTGAAACAACTTTGCTCTCATTGTTCTAATTTAACACTATTGTAGGAAATGACTCTCAGGAAGCATGAACTGCAAAATTCGCATGTGAAAAGGATTGGTAATTTTTAACAAGATGTTTTGTCTCTTCCAGTTGTACCACAAAGTGCATAAGGGGTGGACGTTACTTAACCATCGTTTCAATCCTGGGGACATGGAGTCATTACTAACCAGGGCCGGTCACTGCTAGCCAAAACAAGACTTCATAGGTGCATATCAGGTTAGTACTTTTTTCTGGTATTTATTTCTTTATTTTAACGAGACAACCTTGAAATGCAGAACAGAAATTCTTTAAGAATATACATAGTTTCTAATTTCCAGAGAATTCAGCTCATCTCTGAAGTCCCAAATCAAAAGCACAGGCTGTAACCTATTTTTGCCGAACATCTTGCAGTTTTGTTGGTTTGCTTTTCATAATGAACGATTCAACTCAGCTGGTGCAAGGGCATTGATAGATTTCTGGAACCATTTAACACAGATGGAGCACCTTATCTGGCGTGTGGCTTGTTAAAGGGATACTGAACCGAAATTTGAATTTCGCGAAATAAGGCTCTAGAAGCGTTGAACAGGACCCTACGAACTCCAAAACATTACTCGTACATCGATATCTCAAACAGATCGCTGCACTTTTGGAAAAGAAGGGCACGATCAAGCGAGGTCTTTGACATCACTGTCCTCCGGGAGAATTTGAGAATGAAGGGAAGCGGCCTCGCTTCTCTCCTCCTCGCTTCGGTTCACCAGCTTGACACGGGACGTAGCGAGGAGGAGAGGGAATAAGAATCGTGACGTGCCTTGTCTCGTCGGCCTCCTCGGCCGGGCACCTCTTTTCTAAAAATATGGCGATCCGTTAGAGATATCGCTGTATGAGTGATCTTTTTGGGTTTTTCACCGTCCCGCCTATCTGTCCAGCCTTGTTTTGTGAGTTCAAAATTGTCAATGTGCACCTGGTGGATGCATGCTGTTATGATTGGCCACCCAGAGAGCAGGTTCGGCTTCCTTGCAGCGCCATCGACTGACCAGAGTCTCGGGCTCGGCATTCTGGCGCCACCGAACATGTCGACCAACGCAGCGTGGGTGGGGTGCAGCTTCCGAGCGACGCCGAGCGGGCCACTTGGCACAGAGGAGCTGACCCCCCTGACACCCCGCTGAGAAACAGGGGCCCGCTTCCTCGGCCTTCGGACCGGGTGCTAACGGATGATGGAGACAAGTGGAGACCTCGAAGTGTAAGTCCTATGCCTTCTTCCAGGTGCTGGGCATGTTGAGTTTGCGATCCTTCACCCTTACTCCAAGTGCAGCAACTGTTCCGCGCTGTTCCATCTAGTGTGTTTCACGATAACTTGACGAGCTGTGGAGGCTGTGGCCTTCCCGACCCAATAAGAGCGTCGAAGCAAAGCACGTGACAGCAACCCCATGGTTGAGGTTGCTGTCGAATCGCATGGTTGAGGTTGCTGTCGAATCGTTTTTACGAATCGCCCACAATTGTGGAAAAAGTAGGTCCCGTAAACAATTCCGGTTAAGTGTAAACACATTGGAATCTATATGGAGATCCGAATGCATCGCGAAAATTAGAACCCGCAAATTATTTCAAAACTTCAGCTTCGACCTTAATTGCGAAATATGGAGCCCGCGAAAAATAAGTCTACAGTAAGCACAAATAAAGTTATTTTCTTAGTAATTCTAGGATTTGAGTGTTTCTGGCTTACATTTGTCTAGTCTAAACTAAAATTTGTGCTTAATAGACTGCAGGGATGATTTACTTAACTAAAAGTTCCTGTTCATGAATAGAATAATTTTTTATTTATACTATACTAAGATTATGTGGCTACACTTCTGTTAAAGGGGTAGGGAAACGAAATTTCAGCGCTCATTTTCTAGCTTTAATGTGTTGCATGTTGCACCCTAACCTCAAAAACACCAGTCTTCCGTAGAAAAGCACAATAAAACTAATTTTAAAGCTAAATAAACGACTTTCAATGTGCACCTGGTGGATGCATGCTGTTATGATCGGCCACCCAGAGAGCGGGTTCGGCTTCCTTGCAGCGCCATCGACTGACCAGAGTCTCGGGCTCGGCATTCTGGCGCCACCGAACATGTCGACCAACGCAGCGTGGGTGGGGTGCAGCTTCCGAGCGACGCCGAGCGGGCCACTTGGCACAGCGGGAGCTGACCCCCCTGACACCCCGCTGAGAAACAGGGGCCCGCTTCCTCGGCCTTCGGACCGGGTACTAACGGACGATGGAGACAACTAGAGACGTTTGGGTCTCTGCGTATGATCGGGAGAGCTGCCTGTTCCTGCGTTCTTCTGGGAAACGGGACGAGAGGGATGCTCTGACCGGGGTGTGACCACGTGGGAGGTCCGTGTCCCAGGAGACTGCAGAGACGTCCCGTGGTGACGAAAGTTGTATGTTATGTATTTTCCGTCATGCGGTGATGTATTGCCTTAATAAATGTTTGTGATTGTTTTCAAAATGTGAAAGTTGCAGAAGGTAGATGATTTTAAATATTAGGTCAGTCATAAAAATTAAGTCAATAGACCCTTTTCCAACGTCAGTGCGAACGCCTGTCCGCCATTGCTTGCTCACATACTCTGAGCATATACTGAAAGCGAGCCCTGCGTCAGCGTTCAGCGAGAACTCAGATCCAGTCACGCACTTCGTGAGCAAGCAGTGCTGACCGCCATTGTTGGTTGATGGACTTTTGATAAGTGTTTACTGACTAGAGAGATACTGTACAAACTATTTTACGAGAACATGTAATGTGACTGTCGGTTTTGTTTACATTACTTTCAGACGCCCATTGGAGGTGCGTCAGCCTGTGACCAACTGGGAAAGCAGATGCAGCTCGCCTCAAAGAATTGCATCATTAACATGCACGAGCTGCTTCAAAGCCCGAGACTGAAGACAAATAAACGAGCCTGCGGGTGGAATGCATGTTCACAATTTCTCGAAGTTCGAGCATTTCTTTGTGCATGCACTTTCTGCCATCTTGCATAGGCTTTAAAAGGAAAGTGTTTCCCTGCTGAACTTCATGTTTCACTGATGAGTGAACCATGTGGTTAATACGATCGATATACACCAATACGCGGCCCTGACGTCACGTCGCTACGGTGGCGCTGCTACTGTTAGGGCGCATGTGCAGACGCTTTACGTCACGTGAATGTCGTTCTTACGCACACGCTGTGCCCGCACCTCGTGTAGAAACTGAATTTGCCCACACCTCGTGAGGGCTTGTTGGTAAATAGTGCGTGGGCCTATAGATCACATCAACGATTTAAACTGCATGAACAATATCATCCATAACAACCATATAGACCGTACCAACCATATGGACCGTACAAACCATATGAACCACACAAACTGTACCAACCCGTATCAACCATATGACCCGTACCAACCGTATGACCCATATGACCCGTACCAACCATATGACCCATATGACCCGTACCAACCATATGACCCGTATCCCATAACGCTATATGAAGGCCCGTATGGAAAATTCATATGGTTTTTTTTCAGTAGGGGACACTTTGATCAGGATGCAAAAACCGAGATTCACACGGACGCTAGTAATGCAGGACTTGGAGCGGTACTAGTTCATGTACAAGAAGACACCGAGCGATTCATCGCCTACGCAAGTCGGGCGCTGACCAAATCGGAGAGAAATTACTCCACGACTGAAAAAAGAATGTCTTCCGGTCGTCTGGGCAATCACTAAGTTCCGCCCGTATTTGTACGGGAGCCCATTCCGCGTAGTCACGGACCATCACTCCCTCTGTTGGCTTGCGAACCTCAAGGACCCGTCAGGACGCCTCGCTCGATGAAGCCTCCGACTACCAGAGTGGAACATGACTATCGTTTACAAGTCGGGACGCAAGCACAGCGACGCTGACTGCCTGTACAGGGCCCCCGTCGAAACACCTTCCGGCAGCTGCGACAACGATTACGACGAGTGCTTTCTAGGAGCAGTGAACACCGACGACATGGCACGACGTCAACGAGACGATCTCGAGGTGCGCGCCTTAATCGAGCACCCGGAAGGGTGCGGGAGTACCGTACCGCGTGTTTTCTCACGAGTCCTGCCGACCTTTGCCATTCGACAGGGTGTACTCTACAAAGAGAACTTTGGGGACAACAACTCGCCGTGGCTGCTGGTAATCTCGACCCACCTTCGAGAGAAGATCTTTCATGCATGTCACGACGACCCGACGTGCATACACCTTGGTTACAGCCGGACACTGGCCTGTATTCGTGAAAAGTATTACTGGCCCAAGCTCCCCAGAACCGTTCGCCTATATGCGCGATCATGCCACGAGTGCCAGCGACGCACGAAACTGCCGACAAAGCCGGCAGGTCTCCTGCAGCCGATTCCTCCGCCAACTGCACCATTCCAGCAGATCGGAGTGGATCTACTTGATCCTTTTCCGCCGTCGACCCCGGGAAACCATTGGATAATTGTTGCCACTGATTATCTCACGCGGTACGCAGAAACAAAGCCCCTTCCTTCAGGGACAGCTGTTGAAGTCGCCAAGTTTTTCATCGAGTCCATCGTACTCCGGCACGGTGCTCCCAAAGTTCTAATTACAGATCGCGGATCATCGTTCATGACACAGCTCACCCGAGAAATCCACCGGCTCAGTCACAACACCCGCAGACCAACGGGCTAACGGAGCGACTCAACAAGACGATCGCCGACATGATCTCTATGTACAGAAGTCTTGTGCGCCCCAGCGCACAAGACTTCTGACGAGGTGTTGCCCTACGTCACGTTCGCCTACAATACGGTGGTCCAAAAGACCACAGGATTCATACCTTTCCAGCCGGTACATGGTCGGAAGGTAACGACCATGCTGGACACGATCCTGTCCATGAGCCAGTTGACAATAAGAGCGACGACGCCCAGGTGGTTGCTCAACGGGCCGAAGTCGGCCAGCTCGCCCGACTCCTGATTCAAGACCAGCAACGCGTCGACGCGGGCCGCTACAACCTTCGTCGCAAGGACGTCCACTTCCAGCCCGGAGACAGGGTGTGGGTGTGGACGCCCTTCCATCGCCGCGGCCTCAGTGAGAAACTGCTGAAACGATACTTTGGACCATACAAGGTACTTCGTCGCCTCGGAGAGCTGAACTACGAAGTGATGCCCGACGGAACAAGAACATCATTACGCTGCCCACCACGACCTGAACTCGTCCACGCCGTGCGCCTGAAGCCGTACTACGCTCGATAGGAGTGTGGACCTTATGTGTTTCAAATGGCTCCTTAGTTTGCCGTTCTTTTTATGTGCTTCGTTTTGTTTTGTGTTGCATCGGGGCGATGCACTTTTTAAAGGGGGGAGTAATGCCGTGCGCGCAGCTGACCATGTCGGCAGCGCGGCTGTGGCCTAACTGTTATCGTGCTTGCCTCCCCCGCGAAGAGCCAGAGTTCGATCACCGGGAGTTACGCGTCCTTTTATTTATTCTTGCAGTTTAACTTTTTGGTGAATTCGAGAACTTTGTTGCTTGTTCAAGGTAGGAAAGTTCTAGTCGCCGAACCTTCCAGGTCGATTGTTCCAGAAGCCAGCGCGTGTACATAAGGGGCTCCGCGTGGCGATCTGCAGTCAGTCTCGCCCCAGCGTTCGACTCTGCTGTTACGCCGACTTGGACGCTCCGCGACGCTCTCCTGTTATCTTCTGTTTCTTTTTTTAGTTTTGGGCACAAGATCGCCTCATTGAAAGTTTCAGTTTCCCCCAGTTATTCTTTGTTTCCTTGGATGTTTCTTCGTGACAATATTCACGTCTTATTCGTGGATATCCGCAGGCAACTGGTAGATGCGGATAAAAATGAATCAGATTTGGCGGATCGGATGCAGATGCCAGATCCTGTGGATATCCGTGGGTCTGGATTTACATATTTGCCGAGGCGGCCCATAAACGTGTCCGAACGAAGAATCTTCAAGTGAGTGATATTATGAAGTGCATCATCGAGTCCATCCTTGACGATATTCTGGTTCTACACAGCGACCTCGACAAGTGAAACGTGCACGTGTGTGCGTTTTGTATTCAAGACAAATCGCAATTTGCTGCTAAGGATGTGGTCCCGAGCAAACAGCTGCAGGCTTGTCTTTGAAACTGAAACCGATAGGTGTTGCTAGTGACGCGAACGATCTCTGGAATGATTATCGCTTATAATATAAATTCGATAAAAGGTAATACAATAAAATTACATTCACCGTATTCTCACTTGGAAAGTTAATTGTACAACGATAAGCAAACGGCTTAGAAGCTACCAGCTTTTTTATTCATGCTTGGTGTTATAATGTTAAATAAATGCGCAAAATGCGGGTCGTATGCGGTTTTGAATTTGGCAGGTGCAGTTAGGTTGCGGATGCAAAAATAATTATGCCTGCGGATGCAAATCGGAAGCGGATACAATAATCTAAGACTTTGAATAAACTTCATTTGCAAGTAGCGCTTTGTGTTGTTCGTTTCTTTTACTTGTCCGTTGTTTTTTTAGCGCGCTTACCCTCGAAAATATGGATCGCCAACTAGCCGAACTAGCCCTTCTAATTCAAGAACATTGCGGATGCTGTCCATATGTGGATACAATGTCTGCGATGTGGATCGGATGCGGAAGATCAAACTGCCATCCGCACAGGGTTATAATTATAGGGATGTTTTGTCCAGCATGTTTCCTGCAAGCTTGGTTTTTACCGAAGGCCTGTGCACAGGATCACTGCACAGTCTACCTTGATGGAGCATGGGGCAGACTGCAGACACCAGTGCTGTGTCAGCATTCAGCAGGGACTTGTGTTCAATCAGTGCTTCACTGATGAAGCACGAGTACGAAGGCCGACACGCTATTCGGCTTCATCCGACGAATGTTGCGTCAGAAATTGACAAGTAATTCGTTGTCACTGAAAGTGGACCGCTACGGCTGTACAGTCTCCTGCCGCCATATATTTGGCGACAGCTTTTGCTGACAACAACACCAAAGAATGGGTTCTGCGTTCATCCCGTTGAGCACCGATCAAATTTGTGCAGGTACACTTTCACCTCTGAAATTCCACAAAATGTTGTCCCAGAGTGTGCATGTACTGGTACCTTCCGTGACAATATAATTAGTTACCTCCAAGAAATCGCTACCCACAAATGGAGCAGAGATGTCCCATGATTCCCGTGTTTTGAAGAACCAACAGTCCTCCGGTGGCACGTATGGGTGGCTTCCGTGGCGGGGAATTTTTGTTACTACAAACAGTCTATGGGGAAAGGTTGGGTGCTGGTAAGACAGCGGTGCTGCGGCCAGTGCCGGGCCAAACTTTGTGTTCTCTAAAGAACCGTACTCCTGCTGCAGCAAAGCCTCTCCGAAGTTCGTGTAGCTACCTAGGCCGAGGAGAGCTTTTCCCAACTTCTTTCTTACTTCGTTTTGCTGGGCCTGGCTTCATACAGTCATCCTACTGTCATAGAGTCGTGATAGCAGCGGGGCGTTGCGTCCGCCCTCTCATACACTTCGACAGTCAACGGCCTGGATTCAGGTGCCGTGAATCTGTGGACTTCGGGGAACCCTCCACTGCTGCAGTAGGTCGGTACAGGAAAGTTCAGCTGGTGCCTGGTTGAAGCACCTGGACTGTAAAAGGGCTATCGTGCGTTGAAGCGCTATTAATTGGTTATAAGCCACGCTTCCCGCAGGACATTTACAGTTGTCGTCCAAAAACTGGCCTTTTTTGTTGACTGTTGCCATTACTGTGTCTTTTTTCTTTTTGTGCTTCTATGTAGGGGAGCATGTCTTATCAACACATAAAAATGAGCCACCACACAGAAACTGCAAGAATATCTTGGAGCCCTGTATTTTCGCATCGGCAGGCGGTATAGGTCGTTTCTGCGAAAGGAATTTCGGTGCTGCCTTTGGTGCATGACCACAGGCTTCTGTTGTGCAGCCAACGTCCGCACCCTGCTGTGCAGAAGGCAAGGAGCCCTCTGC